AGGATAACCCAGAAAACCCGGGCCTATGGCGGTTTAAGCAGGTTTTTTTTATCCTCCACTCAGATTCTCAGTTTTAACATTAACATTATAAACTCTCACTTGTTTCCTTTTAGAACCAGCACCCATCCTTTCTTCTTTGAAGTCAATAAATAGGATAAAATAAGTTATTTCAATTCAACAATTTCAACAGATTGGTTAAAAATGTCAGTGTTTTTATGTATCTTCTAAATGGTCTGCAGAGACCTTGTTGAAAATCCTGGAGTTAGAGTTTATGTATAATTTATGAACACTGATGTATTTTTGTGCTCTTTTGTATACAAATACAGTTCTTAAATTAAAAGCAGACAAAGAATTATGAAGGACGAAATCCAGAAGGGGAGGAAAAAGGCTGAGAGATGAAGGGTGTGGTGGAAAACATATTCTCTGGAAATTCAGTCTTACATCAAAGTTGTTCCATCACCCTGAAAGGTCAAACGCTTCTGAGTGTAGTTGTGCAGACAGCGCCTGAGTACAGGAAACACAGGTTACGAGTGAGCCGTTGACCTTTCTCTGCTTCCTCTAGGGATCAGAAACCTGTGTTCAAACAGGAAGAACATGTCTAAAGACGTGTAGGTGCACCAGAGGTCCTCAGTGACATCACGTTGAGTGTCCAAGAACTGTCAGCGGTGCACGAGTTCTACTGGATCTGGCCAGCTCAAGTGCAGCTGTATTTCAAACATGAAATGTTTTGTATTACTAAACGTGCTCAGCCGATGTTGCAAAGCTTGATTTGTTTTGTTCCATTTTTTTTTTTTTCATATTTATCGATTTCCAGGGAGAAAGAATGGGTGCTTTCTCCAAAGGAAGCAAGTGAGAGATTGATATTCAAGATGGGTCACATTAAATTACTCTTATGAAGGTTAAAGAACTGCATACTGAAAGAACAGTCAGTGCTCCAGTGAGGCAAAAACCATCTATCTTTACTTTGTAAGGTCAAATCAGTACAAAAGATCTCAGCAAAAGGTCAGATCCTTACAGAACAGCTCTGTGGGGGATACAGAGATATGCATTTCATGTAGGGTATAATCTACTGTACCTATAGGGCGATGGACATTTACATATTCCAGGGTGTTAAAAAGCAAGGCAGCCAATTAAATTAAATTTTGTCTGTAATCACAATACGGTCGTAAGAGTATGACATCACCACAAAATTTGAGGTCGCTAAAGACTCAGGGATACATTTATTTGATCAAAAATACAGTAAATACAGTAACATTGTGAAATATTATTACAATTTAAAATAACTGTCTTCTATTTGAATATAACTGACAATGTTATTTATTTCTGTGATGGGAAAGGGGAATTTTCAGTAGCCATTATTCCAGTCTTCAGTGTCACATTATATATATTCATTATTTGATGAATAGAAAGTTCAAAAGAACAGCATTTATTTGAGATTTTTTTTTTGTAACATTATAAATATGATCACTGTCACTTGTGAACCATTTTGAATGCATCCTTGCTGAATAAAATTATTCTGACCCCAGTAGTGTATTTATACAGTGGTTTGTTATTATGGTACATGAACTACTTCAGATAAACCTATATCAGATGGAATGTAAAAACAAAACCAACAGCAGTTGGTCATTTTTTATTTCTTCCTCTCTAAATAGGTGGTTCTTTGCCAGAAAAAGCTGAAATGTGGACTAGACCTTTTTCTGTTCAGGTCTATTTTTGTCTCCTTGGTCTTCTTTGAAGCTAATTCTGGTCAAGAGCAAACCATTTTAAAGGAAAAGACCGTTTAACACAACATATTAGCAGAAAATTTCAAAATTTGTATCTAAAAATACAAATTTCAATCCATTAAAATGTCTAGTTGACGGCTACATGGATGTTAAAGGAACAGTTTATCCAAAAAAACTCAATTTCTGTCATCTGGTGATGCTTTTATGGTATCCTTTTACAGCATGAATACTCAAGCATTCATCATATTCATTGAAATTGGACAGGTAAGCAATGACAGAATTTAAATTTTTAGATGAACTCCTTTTTAAGCAGCGGTCTGTTATTACTGATTTCGAGTCCCAAATCAAAAGTATATTGATGGATGGAGTGTAAATCGAGGAGAACAGAAAAACGTGATCATTACTTGACTTTAACAGCCATGAAAGGAAGTGAACAGAGAGATAGTTTATTCATCAAATAAACAGAGCTCATCCGAATTGACAGTGACAAACACAGATTTCACATGCAATGCATACACACACACACACACGGGAACATAGACTCTACACACATTCACAAATGCTTTTAATATCAGCCCAAATAATAGGGCTTCAGGGACCTTGTTATCCTGTGCTTTTCCTATCCACAGCGCATAAGCAGGCATCTCCGTTGCTCAGGTCTGAGACATCTCCCTGATGAAGAGGATGACACCTGTCTGATGCCACATCAACACAAACACACACTGTTATAAACTGAAAAGATATCCCAGTAATTGGCAGGCAACTTAAGGCAAACATTTCTCCTTCCATAATCACTTTTGCCTGTTGAAACTCTTATTGCACAATGTACACTGTAATGGAGGAACAGGACAACGTGTTGTCAGTAAGGGAAATAAAACTAAAAAGTTTGCCATTTTAAAATATAAAAACTCTTGTTTTTTTTTTGTAGGAGCTTGGTAGTTTCTTAACACACGCTTTATGAAAATTATGTTAAAAGGGGTCATAAAATGTTGCTAAAAAGAACATTATTTTGTGTATTTGGTGTAATTGAATGTGTTTATGCGGTTTAAGGTTAAAAAAACATTATTTTCCACATACTGTACATTATTGTTTCTCCTCTATGCCCCGCCTTTCTGAAACACGTCGATTTTTACAAAGCTCATCGGTCTGAAAAGCGAGGTGTGCTGTGATTGGCCAGCTATCCAGTGCGTTGTGATTGGTTGAATACCTCAAGCGTGTGATGGAAATGTTACGCCTCTTACTTGAAACACAGCGTCACACACGGTGGCCTAGAGTGAGCAGAGGCCGGGGGCTAGAGTGAGGAACGGCCGGATGGGCTAGAGTGAGCAGAGGTGGCGGGCTTGAGAATGGCGCAGCCAAACCACATGTGACGACCCCGGGCTGGACTCCGCTTTGTCCATGGTGAAAGCCGATCCGGTGATCCACAGCGCAAAGTTGTTGTATTTCCTCAGCAACCAGCACGGATCAGCTCCAGGCATGACGAAGCAGATATTGTCCTATTCTGGAAGGCCAAACAAAGTAGTTTCGCCTTCACGACATGGCAGCGGCAACAACAATTCTACAGCGAGAATAAAAGTTACTCCTCCTTTCTTTGCGTGAACATTTGGGCAGCGTTATGAAAATCTTTCCAGATAGTGAGGTAGGTATGTGGGGGCGTGTTAGAACGAGCCGTTTTAGGTACACGTGGCTGACTCTTAACTTTTATAAAGAATATCTCTTTGGATTTGAGACTTTAGTCTTTGCAACTTTACAGATCTTCTTTATGCACCAAGAGCTTGTAACACTCCAAAGAGAAAGGAAAAATGTAAAATCGCATCATATAACCCCTTTAAGCCAATCAGTTTGCTGTTTTCTTGACAACTGTACAGTATACATCAGATGTGTGGATAACTTCACAAAGGTATCACAGATTCTCTTCCTCTCTTACAAGGCAGAAGATGCACAGAAAAAGAGATTAGACAAGCTCACGGAGGCAATTTGAAGCACACAGATTGTTTAAAAGCACATTCTCTTCTTTAATGTTCATTAACCAGCTCAGCCTGCCTCTTAAAAAGACACAAATCTTTCAAAGAGCTTCAAGTCACACAGAATGTTGTCGTCTGCCAGCTTGTGCTGTACATGACTTTTGTGTAACAGAGATGGAATTGCACCACTGAGACCAGACTGAAGGACTTTAGGTGGTAAAAGCTTTACCGCAGACTGCAGTGACCTTCAAACACATTTTCCAGCAATGACTAAGGCTTAGGATTTCAAAAAGGCAAAAGCTTCTTTTGTGAATATAACACTTTTCATGGCGCGAGTGCAACCCTCCCTCTCAAACAGTGAATAACAGAAATGAGCGAGAAGGGAGTGCACTGTTTCTAGATTTGGACCAGTGACCAGAAGATTAGACTCGATCAAGAGACAGTGTCAACAAGGAGAAAGGCAATGGCGACAACACTGGCTGCGTTAGAAACAGGTAAGATGTATTTGGGGGGAAAAATTATGAATACAAATAAAATAAAGCATTGAAATTTAAAACAACATCACAACATGACACAAAAGAAAAGTAATGGCAAAAATCAAAAATAAAGACTTGTTCCAAACAAATGTAATTTTACCTTATTGTGACCGCTTATATATTTCTATATTTCCTATTTAGTTTTGTGACTATTATTGATTGTTTACCTATTTAGATTCAAGCTAGTAAAGTTAATTGACCCTTACTTGGCTAATATGTGTATAATACATTAAAATAATATGATAAGACACACCAACTTTCAATATCAAGCAGCAAAACGAACTGTTTTGTTCAGCTAAAAATAGCTGGACGGAGTGGACGCAGATGAAACCGGAAGCCATACCCATATATTTTCCAAATGGCCGCGCCCATTTTTACGACAAGAAAAAGGTGGATATGGGCATGGCTCGCCAGTTCCTGCATGCAATGACGGCTGTAAGCAGGGACAGTTCAAGTTCAAAATCTTCCTCAGAAATCGGTTTATGTCCAGGAAACGTGCAGCATCCGACTCAGGAAATTATCCAAAAAAAAGTAGAAAATAGAAAGAAACCAAGAAAGGACAGAAAAAAAGGGAAAAAAGAAAAGACCCATCCAATAGAATTAGATTTTTTTCCAGTTATGAAATTTCCAGAAAGGCAAACTTCAACTTCAGGCCTTGTATCTTCCCCGTAGCATTCACGCTAGAATTCACCCGTGGTCATTGACTAAGGACGTTCAATCCACACTTTTATCTCAAAATCTTATTTATCATGTAT